ATAATAAATATTAGGTAAGTATAGGAAGTATTATTTGGATATAGATTTTTTGTATTTTTCTTCGTATATGCCTCAGAAGGTGTCCCTAAAGGCCAGATATCATATATTTTATCCTGTATTATTATCACATATTTTATTAATAAAGATTTTTGGTTAGAGGAACGTACAACGTATCATTTGTTATTTTTTGTATAATGTATATATGATCAAGAATTTTTCTGATCGTGTCAATTTGTCACGGTTTCTATCACGTGATTTTATGTGTCTTTGACACTAGCTCCACTATTAATTCAAACTTTTGAATATATCCACATCTTATATAAAACAATGACAAATACACAATCCACAATCGATTCATTGAAGGAATTAAATTCTGATCTCGTTCGCCAGATCACTGAACTTAGAAAGAAGTTTGCTGAGGTCGAGACTGAGAATATAAAATTAAAACAAGATAAAGAAAAAATCAAGCTCAGATTTGTGGAATTAGAGCAGAAAGACAAAGAGAAGTCCATCCTTATTACTAAATTACAACACGATGTCTCATTAATCAAGGAACAGAGCATGCGGGACAAGAACACAGAGTGTCATCAAACTGTTATTGATACACAAAATGCACTTTCTACAAAAGACATTTTACAATCTTCGATAAATTCTAACCACTTCGTGTCTGCCTTCGGCAATGATACACCCGAACAGACAGTCCTACAATGCGAGGATATCCCGATATCTAATATAACTGATAACACTTTAAATTCTAATGATACTCATGAACAGATAGTCTCACATAATGAGGAGTCTAACATATCTACTCACGAAGTGACTGCCTTCGGCAATTCTGATACATAACAGGAATTAGAGACATCAACATTTCTTATCCCCACGAAAACCATATCATTGGAAGAAAAAGAAGAAAACGAATTTCTGGATTCAAAGTATAAGGAACAGGTTAGTAAAGAGATAATGGAGAGAATTAGGAAGAAGAAACTTCGAGATCAAGACCTATCTTTGGTTAGCCATAAGAAAAAGGGAACAGATAATCTCCAGCAAGAATTGTTCAATACTTCTTTAGAAACGAGTTCACAAGACCACTCACTATCAAAAAATATTAAACCGGGACAGATCGAAATTTCTGAGATGGCCCGTCCCGAAAAAAATGAGAGTGTGGATGATTCCGTGAAGTGTATTGTTAATTCATTTGACATTAATAAGGTATCATAACATTTAGCTCAGTTGTACGATACAGCCATAGGTACAGAAGATCGAGCTTCGAAGGCTAATCAAGAAGAAATCATATGCTGGTCTCTTTATGATAGGGATTTTGAATTTCAAGTTGGTGAGATAAGTAGTAAAAATAAAATTGGTGAGAAAAAAGCAAGAACCTTAATTTATAATGAAATTGAAAATCAACTCTCTATTCTCTGTAAAAAACGATTACAAGATTTGGGCTTACAACTATACGTGTTGCCCAAATCCCAAATCATTTGGGATTTGGGACGCCAAAATTCCAAATTACTAGTATTTGGGATTTGGGATTTGGGATTTCGGCAAAAAATACTAATCATAATTTGGGATTTGGGATTTGGAATTTTAGCATTTGGGATTTCGGCATTTGGATTTTGAATTTGGGTGACAGGTATACTTACAACTTCCAAAAATATCACGAGATACCTTGTGCAAAAAAACTCAAAGAGCTGTGAAAATTTATAAGTTATTCGAAAAGATAAGTCTGGATAAAATTAAACATATTAAGAACTATAGTGCAAATTCTATCTCAGAACTTACTAATGACCAAATTCAAGAGATTATTAATTATGGATCAGAGATCCGATTCTCTAATTCTCTTTCGCTTGAAATAATACCTGAAGTATTTTCTGAAGATAATATAATTGAAATTTCTGGGACGGCCCGTCTCGAAAAAATCTCACCCCACATCGAGGTAAGTGATTCGGTATCATCATGTCAGCTTACGACAAAAGCCAAGGTAAGTACACCACCTGTATTTGAACCAGAAATAAAGGTAAATCCATTATCTATAGCTTGATTCAATTTAGCGAATTCCTGTGCAAGTTTTCATAGAAAAGTATTAGATCAATATCCCAATATATTTTATGAATTTAACGATGAAAATATTAATTACTACGGAATTAGTGATGAGGCATCATGTCCTTTATGCAAATTAGACCATGATGATGAGGAAGGTATAAAAGGAGAATATAAAGATGAAACTTATTATATCAAATGTGAGCAAAACAAAAAAGAAATTCAAATAACTGCATAAAATTTGTTTGCGCTTTATAACCCGCCTTTTCGCAATAACTGCTCAAAGCCAGAAAAAAAAATCAGATAACATATACTGATAGGAGCAAAGCTCCATTGCATGGCAATAATATATACTGATAGCATATACATTTTTTTTCCGAGAGACAGAGGAAAAAAGAAAATTAAATTACTTTGAAATTATATAAATGACAAAATGGATACGCAAGCCAGGTCTAATAAAGTATTAATCCCCAAATATCTGAATTGGTATTCCAAATTAACTGATTTGCTAATCACTATATTTGATAAACTTCATTCCAAGTTATATAAAATATATAAGAAAAAAACTGGGCTCGATCCCTGGATAAAGTCTGAAACTTCTGAATTCTCACAAATTGAAAATACTGAGGAAAAGATTTTATTTGTACCATGAGTAAATGTTCAATCTACACCATCAAAACGTCAATTCCCAATTTCTGTTCTACCTAAAGATCCAGAAGAAAAGCAACAACACGTTATTAATATGGTATTAGAGCGATTTCCTTATCTAACTCTGAAACATAGCTTTAGAAATGATTACTTTGAATTTAATAGATTAGTACCCTACCCTGTATGTAACAAAAACCATAAAAAAGAAAATATAAAATATAATGTAGAAGGTATTTGGGGTAGTGGCGAATTTTGCGGTAAAAAAGCTTATCATCTTTATTGTTATATAAATAATTATCAGAATTCAACCCACATAGTAAGTATAAAAGCATAAGTTAACTTGACTTCGACAATGCATATATAACAAAAATCAGTTAAATCATTTTCCTACGATCACATGCATAACATTATATGTAATTTATTACAAAGCGATTCTCCGAATCATGACTCAAATAGCCTACACTTCACAAACCCGATATGTTACATTAATGGCAAGAAAAATAATTGATACTTTATTATGATTTTTTATAAATTGCAATATATTATTTTCTAATAACGAAACTCTGATATATGTATGTCACGTGATCTTGACCCAGCGGTCAGGGTCATGTGATCTGTGGTGCAGTCTTCATGATTTCATCTTTTACATATTTAATTTTCTCTACACTTAGCTTCGAGATAACATTTGTGGAAAAAGATTTAACTAAACTTATTTTTTTGATACCAATACTATTAAAGAGAAAGTATATTTTTTGAGCTCTTTCTTTTCTTTTATTATGGGTAATTTCAGTAGTGTCGGGAAGTTATTTTTTGAATTCATCATTAACGTCCATTTGAGCTTGATGTATGTTTAAAGATTTATTGAAGTGGTACTTGAAACGTTGCGAGAGAATTTTTCCAAATAAATAATACGATTTTACGACTTCTTGACTTGCAATCTCTTTACAAATCTCGACATTAATAATTTTATTGTATAAGTAAAGCAAATTTTCAGAATTCTCACCCTCTTCTACGCTAATTTCAGATATCTGCAGACTAGTATTACTACTTAACTCCTTGATAAGTCATTTCAGCATCTGGGAATCTTCATTTTTAACTTCCTTCTTCGCTTTCTTACTGGGAGATTTATCTTGTGCGGTATTCATTTCTTCAGAGACAACTTCGATAGATCTTTTTTGGGATCCTTCTATCATGACGATGCTCTTATCCTTTGGTTGATTATTGACATCTGGCATTTCTTCATCAATAATTTCTTGAGATTGGATATTAAGTTGCTTTCCCATTTTCTCAACTAATGAAGAAGTACTAGATTCTGAATTACGTCTAGACTCCATTTCAGGTGTGGTGAACTCTTCAAGAATTTCAATGCTTTTTTCACATTTGGGGGTTGGACACGTTAGTTGCTTGCTAAGTAAAAGTTTCTTCTCAATACAGATTCTATGGTATACGTGACCACATAGGAGTGTTGTGAATGCTTTATTAGGTCGGGCAAAAATCTTCTTATCACATTCTGTACAGTTGGCCAACTCGGGAAAAGTCTTATTTTTTATCACATCGTTGTTGAAGTTTTTCAGAATATTATATGCGAGGTTTTTAAGATTAGCAGCTGAGACTTTTTCTGTTTTCGACATCATCAGAAAATTTTTTGGGGCGTAAATTTCCGTAATACAGACGGGACCCACATAAATTTACACCCAAAAATTTAATTTTTTTGACTTTGGTCGCAAATTACGAGACAGGAAGCGATTTTCTACTAAGGTGTTTCTATGACAGATCGAAAGTCCTGGTTCTTGGCTACAAGATGA